ACTGGGCAGGGAATTTCACAGATTCACAACCCTTTGGGTGGATAAGTTCCTCCTGACCTCAGTCCTACATCTGCTTCCCTTTATTTTGAGGCCATGCCCTCTAGTCCTAGTTTCACCTGCTAGCGGAAACAACCTCCCTGCCTCCACCTTATCTATTCCCTTCATAATCTCATATGTTTCTAGAAGATCTCCCCTCATTCTCCTGAATTCCAATGAGTATAATCCCAGTCTACTCAGTCTCTCCTCATAATCCAACCCTCTCAACTCTGGAATCAACCGAGTGAATCTCCTCTGCACCCCCTCCAGTGCTAGTATATCTCTTCTCAAATAAGGAAACCAAAACTGCACACAGTACTCCAGGTGTGGCCTCACCAGGACCCTATACAGCTGCAGCATAGCCTCCCTGTTTTTAAACTCCATCCCTCTAGCAATGACAGACAAAATTCCATTTGCCTTTTTAATTACCTGCTGCACCTGCAATCCTACTTTTAGCGATTCATGCACAAGGACACCCAAGTCCCTCTGCACAGCAGCATGCTGCAATTTTCTACCATTTAAAACATTGTCCATTTTGCTGTTATTCCTACCAAAATGGATGACCTCACACTTATCAACATTGTACTCCATCTGCCAGACCTTTGTGCACTCACTTAGACTATCTATATCCCACTGCAGACTTTCAGTGTCTTCTGCACACTTTGCTCTACCACACCTTAGTGTCATCTGCAAATTTAGACACACTACCCCAACTCCAAATCATATATATAAGTGGCGAGTAACATTAATGCCACAAAAATGCCAAGCACTGACCACCTCCGACAAGAGAGAATCAAATCATCACCTCTGACTTTCAATGGCATTGTTGAATCCCTCACCGTCAACATCCTGGGAGGGTTACCATTGACCAGAAACTGAACTGGACTAGCCATACAAATATTGTCGCTACAAGAGCAGTTCAGAATCTGGGAATTCTATGGCAATTAAGTCCCCACCCAAGTCCTCAAAACCTGTCTACCACCCAGGCACAAGTCAGGAATGAGATAGAATACTTCCCACTTGCTTGCACGAGTGTAGCTCTAACAACATTCAAGAAGCTTGCTGCCACTCTGGAAAGAACAGTTCACATATTTGGCACGCCATCTACCACCTCTTACATACATTCCCTTCACTGCTGCACACAGTGTTAGTCACAGATTCTTGTGAATACTGTCGAGTTCAGGCTCAATCTACTCAACCTCTCCTCACGAGACAATCCCTCCATACTTGGTATCAGCCGAATGAACCTTCTCTGTACTGTGTCCAATGCCAGCATATATTTCTTAAAATAAGAGGCCCAAACTGTTCTTAATATTCCAATTATGGTCTGACTAGTGCCTTGTGTGGTTTCCCTTATATTCCATTATCTTTGAAAGAAAGGCTAATATCCCATTTGCCCTCCATATTTTTGTTGAAGTTGGATGCTAACTTTTTGGGTTCATGGATGAGGACTCCCAAATCCCTCTGTTTCATAGCTTTCTGCAGTCTTTCTCTATGTAAATTGAATGTTCAGCTTCTCTATTCTTCCTGCCAATGTGCATGAACTTACTTTTCCCCACTTTATATCCCATCTGCTAAGTTTTTTGCCCACATATTTTTTGAGAAGTGGTGCTGAGAAGATTGTTGGAATTGAAGTTAGATAAACGCCCAGGGCCTGGTAATCTACATTGAAATAGTGGATGCATTAATGGTCATCTTTCAGGATTCTACAGACTTGGCTGATGACTTGCTCAATGAGCTAGCAAGTTTGTTTGCAAGTGTTTCGTCACCATGCTAGTAACATCATCAGTGTGCCTTCGGTTAAACTGTATATCTCTCTCTACAGATCTCCAGATAAACAAATTAGCCAAAATGCCATAGAGGAGGAATTCCTGTTGTGTACACGGGATGGTTTTCTTGACCAGTATGTGGAGGAACCAACTAGAGAGCAGGCCATCTCTTAAACTGGGTACTGCGTAATGAGAAGGGAATTATTGTCAATCTAGCTGGGCAAGACCCCTTGGGGATGGGCAACCATAACATGATATATTTTTTATCAAGATAGAGAGTGAGGTAGTTGATTCAGAGACTAGGGTGCTAAATCTTGATAAAGGAAACTATGAAGATATGAGGCGTGAGTTGGCCTTGATAGATTGGGTAGAGTTACTTAAGGGGATGACAGTGGATAGGCAATGGCAAACATTCAAGGAACGCATGGGGGAACTGCAACAACTGTTTATTCCTGTCTGGCACAAGAGCAAAATGGGACCAAAGGCAATTCATGGCTTACAAAGAAGCTAAGAGATGGTATCCGATCCAAGGAAGAACCATACAGATTGGCTAAGAAAAATAATATGCCTGAAGATTGGGAACAATATAGAATTCTGCAAAGAAGGACCAAGGGATTGAATAAGAAGGGGAAAATAGAATACTAAAAGTGCAGGGAACATAAAGACTGGCACTAACAGTTTCCATAGATGAGTAAAGAGAAAGAGATTAATGAAGACAAAAGTAGGTCCCCTACAGAGAGAAACAGGGGAATGTTTAATAGGGGACAAAGAAATGGTCAAGCAACTGAATACATACTTTGGTTCTGTCTTCACAAAAGAGGACACAAGTCAGATACCAGAAATGTTGCAGAATGCAAGATTTAATGAGAGGGAAGAATTGAGGGGGATCAATATTAGTTGAGAAGTGGTGCTGAGAAAATTGTTGGAATTGAAGTTAGATAAATGCCCAGGGCCTGATAATCTACATCCCAGAGTACTTAAGGAAATGGCTCTTGAAATAGTGGATGCATTAATGGTCATCTTTCAGGATTCTACAGACTTGGCTGATGACTTGCTCAACGAGCTAGCAAGTTTATTTGCAAGTGTTTCATCACCATGCTAGTAACATCATCAGTGTGCCTTCGGTGAAGCGTCGGTGTTCTGTCCCGCTTGCTATTTATGTGTCTTTGTTTGTTGGGGTGGGTGGCATCACTTCCGGATTTGTTTCTTAGTGGTTGGTATATGGGGTGTGGCTCTACATGTTGTTAATGGTTTGAGTGCCAGGCCTCCAGGAATTCTTGTGAATGTCTTTGCTTGGCTTGTCCTCGGATGGCTACATTGACCCAGTCGAATAGGTGTCCCTCTTTGTCCATGTGTATTGAAATCAGTGATTTCATCAGCCCCCAAACAGAATCAAAACATTTTATGGTACAGAAGAAGGCCATTAAATCCAGCATGTCTGTATTGGCTCCTGAATGAGCTACCCAGCTAGTCCCATTCTCCATGGTCTTTAAAATTCACCACTTTCAAACATAAATCCACCTCTCTTTTAAAACCTCCTTGGCGTCCACTTCCACCACTCTCTCTGGCAGCACATTCCAAATTCTAACAACTCTCTGAGTAAAGAAGTTTTTCCTCATCTCACTCCTAGCTTTCTTGCTGACAGCCTTGAAATTCTGTCTCCTAGTTACTGACATACTGACTAGTAGAAACAGAATATCCTACTTTACCCTGTCAAAATTATTCAGAATTTTGAACACCTCAATAAGGTCACATCTAAATTTTCTCTACTCCAAGGAAAGTAAGCCTGACTTATCTAATCCTTCCTTGTATCTAAATTCCCTCATTCATTGTTTCATTCTGGTAAATCTTTGCACTCTCTCCAGAGTTTTAATATCCTTCCTTAAATAAGGTGCCCAGAAACTGAATACAACATTCCAAATGTGGTCTGGCCAATGATTTGTACAGGTGTAGCATCACTTGCTTGCTTTTATACTCTATGCCTCTATTTATAAACATTTAAACCCTCTTCACAACTGTTTCAATTTATCTGGCCACTTTCAGAGAATGTGAACCCTGAGGTTTCCTCTGCTCCTGCACTACACTCAAAGTTGTACCATTAAGTCTGTATTATCTCTGGGTTTTTCCTACCAAAATGCCTGATGTCACATTTCTCTGCCAGGTGTCTGTCTATTTGTATCACCTTCAAATTTAGAGATTTTTCCCTCAACACCCATCTCCAAATCATTTATATAAGTCAGGAAAAGCAAGAGTTCTAAAACTGACCACTGGGGAACACCATTTTTAACTCATCACCAATCTGAGAAATGCTGATCCATACCTACCCTCTGTTTCCTATCTTTCAGCCAACTTCTAATCCATGCTGCCAAACTTCCATTAATTCCAAACATTTCTAACTTACTTAGCAACTTGCCATGTGATACCGCTTTCTGTAAGTCCAAATATACAACATCCACAGCACTACCCTTATCCAGTGCCTCAAAGAACTCAATCAAATTTGTCAGACATGAGCAGTCCTTGACAATGCCATGTTGACTATCTTGTATTAATTTACTTTTTCTGAAGTGTATATTTACCTTATCCCACAATATGGCCTCCATCAGCTTTCTACTATTCATATCAAGCTAACAAGTCTGAAATTTCCTGGGTTATGCTTTGCCTCTTTCTTAAACAATGCTGTCACATTTGCAAACCTCCAGTTCCCCAGAACTAATCCTGTGTTCAGAGAGGTCTGGAAAATTTCTGTCAATGAATCTGAGATTTTCTTCCTAACATCTCTCAGCAATCTAGGATGTCTCCCATCTGGCTCTGGTGACTCTCAACCTGGAATACTGTCAGACGTTTAGCATCTCTTCTTTATCTTTCACTATACTTCACAGTTGCTCAACATCCATGTACAAGTTCACATATGCCTCACACTTGCATCAAATGAAGAATCAAGACAAAATTGAAGACTTTTTAAACTAAAACTCTTACAATAAGGTCATCTACTATTTATAGGATTCAAAAGCCTGGCTTTGTCTCCAAGACTTTGCATAGCACCTAGACAAAGTGATGTATATGCCTGATGCAGAGTGTCAAAAAGGCTCTGCAGTTCCAACCTTGAATGCTGAGTGATATTATGTAGGTCTTACTGATCATATTTTTGAAGAAATAAACATGATTGGGTATTAACTGAACCTGATTATTGAGTACCTCTACTAATAGTAATAGTGTTGGTTCCAGCTCAGATTGAAGTAGTAATTCGTTGTCCTTCCCTTTGAAATTGTCCTTATAGTGTTTTCTGTTGTAAGGAACTCGCAGGCTCTCTGGAACACCAATCTTATTCTCCAGAAGACGAAACTGCAGGCTCTGAAATCCAGATGCCGGTACTAAGTAGTTCCTTTAAAAATATATGGTAAAAGAAATAATACATTACACAGAACATTATAAATATCGTAGATGGAAATTCACTAAAAATTGCTCTTTTTCTCATGTTACATATAAAATTAACCAACTATTAGATTGTAATTGACTTTGTTTTACTATTACATTGGTCAGTCCCATTCTGGAAGAAAGGGAATTTGTCAGCAGCGATACACATAAGATTAGTCTGTCAAGTTTGACGAAATTAGACTTTTTATTTTACAACCACACAACGAGATGTGCGTTATGAGTTTACTCTCTGGATCATGGGATGCCCTAGACATATCAAAAATTGATAACATATTTGCATAATTACATTAAAGATGACCCAACAATCTCCTCAATCCCTACTAAGAAGGTACATTCTCCAAATGATTAAAGACTGACAATAAATGTCTCCCTACTGACATTCACCATATCCTTAGAACAAAGAACTACAAACAAGAAACTTGCTTTTTATGATGTACATAGAAGGAGCGCGGTTTAGAGCAGAAGAAGAAATTAATAGAGTAGATCATACAGTTACTCGAGCCTCCTTCAATTCAATAAGCTCAAGGCTGAGCTTTTATATCAATTTTACATTTGTGTCCTATTTCCAAACCTTTTGACTCCCAAAACACACAAGAAGCCATCATTGAGTATTGAATATACTCAAGGACCAAGCAGCCACAGCCTTTGAGGAGAGAGAATTCCAAACATTCAAAATGACTCAGTGAAGGACATTTTTCTCGCCTTAGGGCTTAAATGGCTAACCCCTTACAGAGCCCAGAGGAAGGGATGTATGTGGTACTAATCATCAGGGTCTGGGTTTGGGTAACAGTGCCTCGATGTGCTCACAAACAAGCATGCTTTGGGCAATCTGCTCTAGGTCTAAGTCAAAACACTCCACGTCTAATTGTCCAGGAACAAGGGTCATGGATGCTACAAGAGGGTTGAGAAGAAACAGGGAGGATGCACATGGGGATGGGGATTGGGTGAGAGTTAGGGGAGTCAGGAAAGCTGTATGTGGTCTTTAGGAACTAAGGAGGCTACAAGGTGACTGTAGGAGATAGGGAGGCACCATGGTGGATGAAGGTGGCTGCAAGAGATGGTGAGAGTGAGAGGAAGCTACAAAAGGGATGGAGTAGACTGCAAGCAGGTGAGAAGTAGAGGGAGGCTTTGAGAGAAGGAAAGGCTACAAAGAGGGTTGAGAGAGAGGAGGGTGGCTGGGGTAAGGCCATATAGAGCGAGACTACTGCAAAGAAAAGACAATAATTTTAAATCTGTCAACAAAAGGAACATACGACTAACAGAGGGGGTCAGGAAACTTTGAAATCAGTGAGGCCATGAATTGCTTGCAAATATATATGAAATTTGTAACTTAAGGGCACTTGGCAGAGGATGGGATCCAAAGAGAGTGTTCAGCAGGGGAGGATGAACAGCCAAAACTACAGGAGGCAGCAAATGAGTTAGGAAGGCATAGACATTAGAGGCCAGTTAAGGTACAAGGTAGTTTGACAAGGTTGGATGTTATTTATTTTAATGCAAGGAGTCTGACAAACAGGCCAGATAAGTTGAGGGCACAAATTAAAACATGGGGATATGATGTCATTAATGTGTCACTGAGACATAGTTGAGAGAGGAATAGGATTGGCAGCTCAATATTCCAGAATATAGGATATCCAGGTGAGACAGGGATGGAGGGGATGTCGCAATATTGGTCAGGAAAAAGGAGGATTGTACGGCAAAATGGAAGAATGACAAATTCCTAATACGTTGCAATAAAGAAAATGGGTGGGACCATCAAATAATATGTACCATAGATATTGAGGGATACACACCATCACATTAAGAGAAAAAAGGAGGATGATGACAGATACCAAGGGCTAAAAACAGCAAAAGCCTTAGAGGGGCTATAATGAATATAGTGAAATAAATATTTTGTGTATAAATGAATTTAAAAAGGAGGTTAGGAGAGCTAAAAGGGGATAAGAAAGAATACTGGCAGGTAAAATAAAAGAAAATCCTACGTTGTTTTACTGGTACATTAAGGGTAAAAGGATAATGAGAGAAAGAATAAAGCACATTAGGGAGCAGAGAGGTAATTTATGTACGGAGCCAGAAGATGTGGGTAGGGTTCTGAATGAATAATTTGTGTCAGTGTGCATTAGTGAGAGGGACAATGTGGGTATAGAATTCAGGGAGAAGGTCTGTGATACAATTAAAGAAATTAGCATAAGCAGAGAAGTTGTTCTGAGCGGTCTGAGAGGAATAAAAGAAGGTATGTCTTCAGCGCCAAATGAAATGTATTCCAGGCTGTTCAGTGAGGCAAGGGAGGATATAGCAGGGCACTCGCACAAATTTTCAATTCCTCTCTAGCCACAAGAGAGTTGCTGGAGGTCTGGAGGACAGCCAATGTCAAGCTGTTATTCAAGAATGGAGCAACAGATAAACCAGGAATCTATAGGGTGATCAGTCTAACCTTGGTGGTGGGGAAATGATTGGAAGCAATTCTGAGGAATAGAAATAATCTGCATGTGGAGATACAGAAATTAATCAAGAATAGTGTAGTAGTAGGATTTAAAAATGATATCTTCAAACCAGATCATTAAGGGTTAATTGGATATGACAATGAGCAATTGAAGACAAGTGGAAAATTACTGGTTAAATGCAAGACAGTTGTTTTGACTGTCAAAGAACCACATGACATGGCCACATGGAGGATCGTTTTCTACCAAATGGAATGCCTGGGAAAATACTAAAAGCACCAAGAATAGTATTAATATCAGGGACTCTGCAGCAGTTGCTAGAATCCAGCTTGGACTGAAATCATGAGACAACAAGGTGCAGGGCTGGATGAACATAGCAGGCCAAGCAGCATCATAGGAGCAGAGAGGCTGACGTTTCGGGCCTAGACCTTCATCAGAA